AATAACCGAGATATGGGCAATCAGAAATTATTTTTGTCCCATCCGTAAAACACTTCCTGTTCATCAAAAATGACCCAATTTATATTTAATAAATAGATCCACGAAGGCCAACCACATCTATGTAGGCAGAATCTTTGCACCATGTACAGTTTTGGCTGCACAAACTGACTAAATCCCCCCCCCCCCCCCCGCCCCAAAAATATTGTTTTTTTTTAATAAAAACACTTACAGAAGCTAGAATGTATTTTTTCATTCAAAATACAGGTTGTTTTGGGTAATTAACATTGTTTGGGGTTAATCTATGGACCGGAAAGCCATATACTGGGTAAAGCACACATAACACCAGAACAATTTATTTGGGATCAGACTACAATTGTCATCTAAACACAGTTTATGGTACATATTTAATGCTCGGTGATTCTTAAATGACAATCTAATATAGTAATACAGTCTAAATGTTATACTACAAATCCTAAATATTCTTCGTATCACATTTATACATTAAACCATACAAAAATATACTCACCACAGTAAAAATGACCAGGACCCTGTTTCTCAAAATTTTAACTAATGATAAAATCCAATTTTAGTAGATACTTCAATTTTGATTGGCTATAGCACTAAAATCAATCTAATATTATCCAATCAAATTACTAAAATCTGGATTTCATCTTAGTTAAAATTTCGTGAAACAGGCCCCAGATTTACTGTTTTATTAGAATCATACATCAGGGTCTGGAATCAACGAATAAATGATTGAATAAAATAGGGTTTAACATCCTCATTTTTTGTACCATCTAGATGACTAGACACTGCACCTTGCCAGGCCATCCGTCCTGCACTATGCCAGAAAAAAACCTGAGGAGCTTTCTTGACCAAGGGGTTGGGAATAGTTGTTTAAATGTATAAAATTTTAAAATCCCTGATATCTTACAACAATAACAAATGAACTACATTTCTTCAACAGTGTAAATACATGTATATGGTATATCAAGGTTGTGGACCCTCTAGAGGTCACAATTTTGATTCGATTTTAATGAAACTACAAATAGATGTTAATGACCCAAAGATCTTGGTTCCTTTCGATATTCGTGCATATCGGATCATAACTATCTGGATTATTGCCCCCAATTGTTTGAAAAATCACATTTTTTTAGGATGTGGACCTGCTATTTGTATTCAATTTGTATTCAATTCTAAAAAACGTTTAAATATATCACTGCTAAACATCAATGTAGGTAAAAATCTGACCCAAACTGCCAGACAAAATAGCTGCTCCTTGTATGCAAATAGTGTAACAATATGTAATACCAAGATTGTGGACCCTCTAGAAGTCACAATTTTTATCCGATTTCGCTGAAACTTAAAATATATCTTTATATCTCAAATATCTCAGCCCCTTTTGACATTCGCGCATTTCAGATTATAAATTCCTGGATTATCTCCCCTGATTGTACAAATAATTACTTTTTAGCTTTTTCTATATCCATCTCTTGCAAAATGTGGACGTATCTTGCTGGCAACTGCTGGTTTGATTTCAAATCATAAAAAAAATAATGAAAAATCCATAATAAAAACGAATAATTAAATGAAAAAATATTCCACGAGACATATAGGGAATTCATAATGTAACAAACATGGCTTGCCAGTTGCCAGTCAAATATGGGTATAGAATAATTTCCATGTATTTGAATTTGAACAGGTAACTATCATCTCTCATAATGTAAATTCTTTACATGGCCTTTACTAATTGACAAATTATGTTTATTTCAGTGCACTAATCCTGTCACAAAGTAAATTCTTATTTATGGCCTTTACTAGTTGACAAATTATATGTATTCCATTTCACTAAACATAGGCCTACAGGCTCCATGAATGTACAGAGGGGGGCAGAACCTGAATTGCCTGACAAAATGTCAGGTTACAGTCATCTGCGAGAGGCGCAGAGCTTTCGATGTAGCCCCCACCCCCACCCCACAAAGATAATTTGGAAAATTTGACGACCGCAAACATTTTTTCCTGCTAATCCAAGCTGTGTGGTTTTGTCAGACTTCAGGCACTTTATTTTACCAACTAGATGAAATAATAATTTTTGTTTTCACTTTACACGTCTGCCCAAAAAGTCAGATTGCCCAAAAGCTATCTGCCCCCCCCCCCCCCCCCCCCGACCCAAAACCTTTGCCCCGCTGGCTCATATGCCTATGCCACTAATCCTGTATATTTTTCACTAATTTCCCATAGTTTCTTGGCAATTCCTGGATCTTGTGATATCTTATTTGCTGCATGATCTGCCAATGCACAATCAACAAAATATTTTCCACTGATACCTTCAACCTCTTCACTAACAGCACAATATATACTGGTCTGTGCTCCTTCATCACAGTTCTCTTTTTTTTCTCAAAACTATTTAAAAAAAGAGGGTCAAGATTAGAGAATATGAATCAACTATACATATAAAAAGAAAGAAAAAAACAATAATAACTAGATCTCCTAAGGAGGACTGACGTGTTTCGGTATGTCACGTCACGTCACGTCAACATTCAAGTTACACCATGAATAATACTGTATTCGTTACTCCTCGGGTTTATGGAAAATACGACTAACGAATTGGTAAATAGCGTTCGTAACTACAAAAACTGGATCGGAAGTCGTGATTTCTACTGGAGAACTAGGGTAGCTAAAATTATATCGAGTTCACAACATATGACGTAACAAGATGGCAACCAAAGTTACAAAGTTGAACGTTTTGAACGGTAATTACTATTTTGTAGTTATATATTTGTTGTGGATGTGCATATCGATCTGAATACGTGATTTATAGAATTTTACATTTTGGGATGTATACATTTTCTGGACAATGACAAAAAACACATTAAACAGAAAACGAGAAAAATACCCGGCTTTCTATTTTGCACTAACTTCTTGTACCGTACGACAGTTCAGGTTTTAGGACGGTGCGGTCTATATGAACAAACATTTTTCAGTAACTAGGTCTTTTCAGGATTAACGTACTACGTTTCTTTGAAATTTAAAATGTCTACATACCGTAACAATTAGATATTACCAGTAGCCATATGCTAAGCTAATTGACCGTTGCCGCTAATCGACTTTATCTAATTTTTCACTTCTTAATGTACCGTACGATAAATTGTTCTAAGATTGATTATTTAACATATAATTAAGAAAACTTAACCAAAATAGACCAACGGAATATGTAGATGTTTTTTAGCTTGATTTAAAAGAGGCCCATCAAAAGATTGACCAATATTTAAGGGTAACTCTGGCTTGTTTATATCGTTTGCATTAGATGCCGAACGTTGATAAATTTCCAATTCATCATATCTTTGTAAAAACTGAAATGAGCTGAATCCTTGAAGGGATAATGACAGCCATGTTGATTTTCCCACTTGTGCACCCGAACACGACAAGTGTGGTATTTACTATTTTCTAGTGGGAAATACGATATTTCCAAGCGATAATGAATACAGCATTACACTCGGCAAACCTCAGCAGATTACAGTACCCCACATCTAGCCTCGGCTGTATGACGAATTCCGCCATTGGAACTACTTTCAAGTTCTCGGATTACCAACGGCGTTGCCCATGACGACGCGTTCGAAGAATGTTTTATCATACAAATATTTCAAAGTCTGTAGCTGTTATCTTTCAGGTTTATCCGATTTTCTTCAACCAAGGACAAATTTGCACTGGAAATTCTAAACACGCTTCGAACGACGCAATTTTGATAACTTCTTTTTAAAAGCGGCAAGTTTTCCTAATAAGTAAACCGGTGTCGCATCGCAATTGTATAGGCGTAGGTACATATCACTTACCGTCATACAGCCGAGGCTAGATATAGAGTTACGGAATCTGCCGAGGTTTGCCGAGTGCATGAATTATTGAGTATAGTAATATCCAGTACCTATTAAAGTGGAAAAACCTGTCATTTTGAACTCACTCGGCAAAACTCAGCAGATTCCAGTACTTTACATGACCGAACGTTTTTTAATATTAATTGTTAGTAGACATCAGGGTCATCATACATACAAAGACCAAGGGTCATGGAAAGTTTAGGTCACCATCTAGATGGTGAAAAGTCAAACTCCAATGTGAAACCGGAAGTAAACAAAATCGAAATTCAAAAATCGGCTCCCTAAGGATTGTTGCCAAGAGGAGTAGGTTCAATACAAAATTTTCTTTTTCGAAAATCTGAATTAAAATGGCGGCTGAATATCGATTTTAATGTTTTTTGTAAAATCCAATATGGCGGCCATGCAGTTGAAAATGTTATGGAACAAGGTCTTTGAAAATAAAAGTTAATATCTGGGGCTAACACCACCCCATGTCATTTTTTGTCTATTTTTAAAATAGAGAGAACTATTCATGTTCGGGAAGAATCTGAAGGCCTCTGTAATTTCCTGAAGTTTCGGGCAGCTGTCACAAAATTTTTTAATATGCCATTTCGAAGGCATCGGTGTGTTCCTTAATCCTAACAAGTTTCAACTTGATACCTCAAATAGTGACGGAGATATGCAGATCTGTGATGCTAATATTAATCGAGCGAACTTCGAATTTCGAAAAACCGTCAGTTAGAGCCCTTATGGGATTTGCTCAAATAATCCAAAAATAAAAACTTGAAGAAAATCCGTTAAGAAATAACCGAGATATGGGCAATCAGAAATTATTTTTGTCCCATCCGTAAAACACTTCCTGTTCATCAAAAATGACCCAATTTATATTTAATAAATAGATCCACGAAGGCCAACCACATCTATGTAGGCAGAATCTTTGCACCATGTACAGTTTTGGCTGCACAAACTGACTAAATCCCCCCCCCCCCCCCCGCCCCAAAAATATTGTTTTTTTTTAATAAAAACACTTACAGAAGCTAGAATGTATTTTTTCATTCAAAATACAGGTTGTTTTGGGTAATTAACATTGTTTGGGGTTAATCTATGGACCGAAAAGCCATATACTGGGTAAAGCACACATAACACCAGAACAATTTATTTGGGATCAGACTACAATTGTCATCTAAACACAGTTTATGGTACATATTTAATGCTCGGTGATTCTTAAATGACAATCTAATATAGTAATACAGTCTAAATGTTATACTACAAATCCTAAATATTCTTCGTATCACATTTATACATTAAACCATACAAAAATATACTCACCACAGTAAAAATGACCAGGACCCTGTTTCTCAAAATTTTAACTAATGATAAAATCCAATTTTAGTAGATACTTCAATTTTGATTGGCTATAGCACTAAAATCAATCTAATATTATCCAATCAAATTACTAAAATCTGGATTTCATCTTAGTTAAAATTTCGTGAAACAGGCCCCAGATTTACTGTTTTATTAGAATCATACATCAGGGTCTGGAATCAACGAATAAATGATTGAATAAAATAGGGTTTAACATCCTCATTTTTTGTACCATCTAGATGACTAGACACTGCACCTTGCCAGGCCATCCGTCCTGCACTATGCCAGAAAAAAACCTGAGGAGCTTTCTTGACCAAGGGGTTGGGAATAGTTGTTTAAATGTATAAAATTTTAAAATCCCTGATATCTTACAACAATAACAAATGAACTACATTTCTTCAACAGTGTAAATACATGTATATGGTATATCAAGGTTGTGGACCCTCTAGAGGTCACAATTTTGATTCGATTTTAATGAAACTACAAATAGATGTTAATGACCCAAAGATCTTGGTTCCTTTCGATATTCGTGCATATCGGATCATAACTATCTGGATTATTGCCCCCAATTGTTTGAAAAATCACATTTTTTTAGGATGTGGACCTGCTATTTGTATTCAATTTGTATTCAATTCTAAAAAACGTTTAAATATATCACTGCTAAACATCAATGTAGGTAAAAATCTGACCCAAACTGCCAGACAAAATAGCTGCTCCTTGTATGCAAATAGTGTAACAATATGTAATACCAAGATTGTGGACCCTCTAGAAGTCACAATTTTTATCCGATTTCGCTGAAACTTAAAATATATCTTTATATCTCAAATATCTCAGCCCCTTTTGACATTCGCGCATTTCAGATTATAAATTCCTGGATTATCTCCCCTGATTGTACAAATAATTACTTTTTAGCTTTTTCTATATCCATCTCTTGCAAAATGTGGACGTATCTTGCTGGCAACTGCTGGTTTGATTTCAAATCATAAAAAAAATAATGAAAAATCCATAATAAAAACGAATAATTAAATGAAAAAATATTCCACGAGACATATAGGGAATGCATAATGTAACAAACATGGCTTGCCAGTTGCCAGTCAAATATGGGTATAGAATAATTTCCATGTATTTGAATTTGAACAGGTAACTATCATCTCTCATAATGTAAATTCTTTACATGGCCTTTACTAATTGACAAATTATGTTTATTTCAGTGCACTAATCCTGTCACAAAGTAAATTCTTATTTATGGCCTTTACTAGTTGACAAATTATATGTATTCCATTTCACTAAACATAGGCCTACAGGCTCCATGAATGTACAGAGGGGGGCAGAACCTGAATTGCCTGACAAAATGTCAGGTTACAGTCATCTGCGAGAGGCGCAGAGCTTTCGATGTAGCCCCCACCCCCACCCCACAAAGATAATTTGGAAAATTTGACGACCGCAAACATTTTTTCCTGCTAATCCAAGCTGTGTGGTTTTGTCAGACTTCAGGCACTTTATTTTACCAACTAGATGAAATAATAATTTTTGTTTTCACTTTACACGTCTGCCCAAAAAGTCAGATTGCCCAAAAGCTATCTGCCCCCCCCCCCCCGACCCAAAACCTTTGCCCCGCTGGCTCATATGCCTATGCCACTAATCCTGTATATTTTTCACTAATTTCCCATAGTTTCTTGGCAATTCCTGGATCTTGTGATATCTTATTTGCTGCATGATCTGCCAATGCACAATCAACAAAATATTTTCCACTGATACCTTCAACCTCTTCACTAACAGCACAATATATACTGGTCTGTGCTCCTTCATCACAGTTCTAATAATATAAAATACCAAATATATATACTGGTCTGTGTCCCTTCATCACAATTCTATTAAGCCAACAGTGAGGCTGATGTCCCCTGCCAAAATTCCAAAATAAATAGATGACACATATTAATTAATTGCACATTTATCTTTTCAAAAGTATAAAGCAATCAAACTGGTTATCTATATTCCAAAGTCTCAACCAATTACATTGCTTATCGCAAGGTATTGATGTGGTGAAGCTATACACCAAGTTTTATCAATCTTACTTAAAGTAGCTAAGTCTCTAACTCAATATCATCCAAAATCTTCGACATTGAAAACACAATATATTTGTCGGTTTAAATCAACATTGATGTTGTTATCTTACCGGGAAAAGATGGCCTTCTGATATCCAATATTTAAGACAAAAAAAACATTTTACAGTTGGTACACGAATCGTGTACCATAATGCATTTCAGCGCTTTTTGTAATAAGGGACTCAAAAAACGAGGCTAGGCATATTCCACAAGTCATGTCAAACGGTGACGCTATATTCTTATCTGGAGAGCATGCCCAATAAATACTTACTGGAATAACCAGAAGAGATTGAAATTTAATTGAGAATACTGGCGTATTTCGCCGAACCTAACTGATTAGAAATTACAGTAAAAACAGAAACGATTGAATGTAAATCAATTTATATACATTCATATTACATTATTGTATGCGTTGCGACCCATTTGTGTCAGTTTCTAGGTCCCAAATATTAGCGACTTAGCTCCTTTAATTAGAACCAAAGTTATCGTGTCCCAAAGCATCCACTAATCAAACTTCATCAAGGCATTCACTTAATAAACACCTACACCAGGTTTGAACCTTTTAGCTCAATTAGAAAGAGAGTTATTGTGTCCCAAAAAGTGTGACTGATCGACAGACAGATAGACGGACAGACCCAATGTAATAGTCCCCTGCTTTCTTCAAAAGACGGGGGACAATAATATAAAATAATATAAAATAAAACATATTATATACTGATCTGTGCTCATTCAACACAGTTCTAAAAATATAAAATAAAATATATTATAACCTGGTCTGTTCTAATATAAAATACAATATATTATATACATGTACTGGTCTGTGTCCCTTCATCACAGTTTTAATTAAATAAAATACAATATATTATATACTGGTCTGTGTCCCTTCATCATCACAGTTGTAAATAATAAAATACTGATCTGTGTTCCTTCCTTCATCAGAGTTCAAATGAAATAAATGAAATAAAATGAAATGGGGTTAATGTCCTACTTTCCTGCACCAACTGTGCATCATACAGTGTGCTATGAGGGAAATTTTATCCAGACAGTGTACTCTTTTTTTAATTTCAAATGTCAAGGTATCTTTTATGTGCGCTTCAAAATGTACACAGGGACTGAATTTTTCAAGAGAAAGATTCTCTGTAAGTTTAAAATTAAATTCCCTATTTCCATGGTAACAAATAAAGCAAATTTCCCCAAAACTGTTGTTTAGTCTTATTAAGCAAACTCTCCCAGAACTCTTGCTTAGCCTTTTTTTTGGCTACTTGAACAATTCCTTAAAATTTCATGTTGAAAGCACTATTAGCTATTAGCCAGTTGTTTTAAAATGTGTATTGTATTATAAGTATTGCCCCCCTTAAAATACACTTTCTTTTTCTTTCATCTCAAGGGTACAACGTAAATACCCCCCCCCCCCCCAAAAAAAACCCCAATATTTCAAAATGTGTTTTTTTCCCTTGTCATGCCATACAAAATCATCAATATAAGTGTGAATTTCATCATTAAATACTACAAAAAAATATTTAAAAAGTAGCACCGCCAATATCCTTGTAAAAAAAAGGTTATTATGCAGTTATTATAAATTCACATTGATCACACCCACAAGCAATCATTTATCATACATCGAACACACCCACAAGCAATCATACACTAAACAAACCTCCAAGCTATCTTACACTGAACACATCTACAAGCAATCATACACTGAACACACCCACAAGCAAACAGCCTTTCTCTTTTATACATTAACATTGTATACCATTGTATAATCTGAACTGACCTTCATAACAGTTCTGATGGAGGGTCCAGCCACTGTCACTCTTTAAGAGAGTGTTACCATACCCCCTTTATTCATAGTTCTATTAATATTACATACATTTCTTATTATAATAAAAACAAGAAATGCAAATGAACCAGTCAAGTGACTTACCTTAAAGAAAAATTTCCCAATAAGCGTAATAGGCCATCGGAATATAGATGGTAAATTACGTAACAGTTCTGTTTGAATTGTGCCAGGGTGAAGACAATTTACAAGAACATCTGAAATAAGAATAGCATGTTACATCAGATATATATGAAATATCTTTAGGACACGATTAAATTATGGAAATTTCCAAACAATTGGGGCAAATTTGTTGACGAATGCAATTTTCTCTGCAAGTTCTGTTAGCACAGATTTATTCGAGTTACATTACAAAATTCATTAATGAATTAGACAAATAAACAAGTAAATCAACATTATTACCACTTCCTTCCAATCTTCTTGCTAATTCTCTCGTAAAAAAAATGTTGGCTAATTTACTATCAAAATATATTCGATGATAATTAAAATATTTTTCTGCTCGTAAATTATCAAACTCTATTCTTCCCATGGTGTTGACCAATGATGAAACATTTACAATCCTACTAGGAGCTGAATATTTTAATAAATCTGAAAATTAAGTTGAAATACCAGTAAGTAAATAATATTATTTACCTGAACATGATAAATGCTGATCCAGGATGCTGAATGGTGCTAAAATTAATCTATAACATTTTGAGACTTACTCTATGTACAGTTTATTTACTAAGATTATGCACTGCAATGTCAGGGAGAATTTTACCGAGGCTGCATCCTTTATTTACACATACTCTTCTTGGATATATATTAAGAGTCAACCTCTTTTTTCACATCTACGATATACTTAGAAGAATTGGAATCAATTTACCTAATAATAAATTGGTCAATAAAAATGGTCCAAAATGATTCGTTGCAAACATACTTTCCAAACCATCTTCTGTTATTATTTTTGGCATTCCTGTAAAAATAACAAGCAAATATAAAAACATGCCATCAGGGAGGCTGATGTTCCCCCATTAATTCCCTCACCAAAAATAGATGACAATCATTGAGTACTTGCATATTTGTCTTTTTATAAAGCATTGAGCAATCAAATTACCATTCTGATTAACAACACGATAAAATGTCCATTATCAAACTCAGTCAAAATATTGATGTAGACAAGAACAGAACTTTATTTACAACTCAGATCAAATACATGACATATGAATGATAGGTAATTTACATATTTACAAAATGGAGTCTTTTAGTTCCTTTAGACATAAATTTGTTTATGTAAACAAACTATAATCCAACTTCCATCACTCTCAATAAGAATCAGCATCCTAGCGGTCAGCTTAACCATACACTGGTTTCAATATTTCAGTTATTGTATATAGCTGACACTTTTGAGGAAGGCTTAGCATGGATGAGCATAATATGGATGGATGTGGCACTCAAGAAATGGACATTATTATTATTACTGATAAATTAAAAAGCAATGCAAGATACCAACATTTTGCAACAGATGGATGGAGAACTGGAAAAATCGATAGGGCTCGTAATATCTTAAATTCTGTTTATTTATCCTTACCTAAAACTCCAGCATTATTAACAAGAATATGTAATTCAGGTTCTTCATCTAATATTTCTCTAACAAAATTCCGGACAGATTTCATAGAACTTAAATCTAATTCTTTTACTATGATCTCTTCATTATCTGTCTCCTCTATAATACGTTTTTGAGCTTCAACAGCCTTCTTTATATTTCTACAAGCCAATATAACTCTAGCATTTCTAGTGGCGAAATCTAAAGCAGTATAATAACCAATACCTGAAAATAAAGCCAAGAAACATTAGACATGGACTTACAGGACTTCATCTGCAAGTATGTAATACTATGTATGATAACAATCCAACAGTGAGGCTGATGTCCCCGCCGAAATCCCAAAATAAATAGATGGCACATATTAATTAATCGCACATTTATTTTTTTTCAAAAGTATTATCACTCTCTATCGGATAGAATCAAGATTATCTTGTCCCAAAGCATCGACCAATGAAATTGATTAGCTCTGCTTAGCTTCAGCTTGAAATGTTAATCATTGAACTCAGTCAAGACATTCACCTAATGAACATCTACATCAAGCTTAAACATTCTACCTCAATTAAAAGCAGAGTTGTTATGTTCCAAAGTCTTGACCAATCAAATTGCTTATCGCTCCTGAGCCTAAGCAGAAAATTCTCACCATTGAACTTAGTCAAGGTAATGATATAATGCATCTATATTCGTAGTTTCATCGCTCTAACTTCAGTATAACCAAAGTTATCGTGCCCCAAAGCATCAATCAATCAGATTGCTAATATCTCTGTTTACCGTAAGCAGACATCAAACTCCATCAAGGCATTCACCCAATGAATGCCTACACCAACATTCTACCTCAATTCGGGGGAGAGTAAATGTGTTCCAAAGTCTCAGCCAATCAAATTGCTTATCGCTCAGCTTACCCTGAGCAGAAAATGCTCATTATCGAACTTAGTCATGGTATTGATGTAATGAAACTATACACCAAGTTTCATCACTTTCATTTACTTAGAACTAAAGTTATTGTGTCCCAAAGCATCAACCAATCAAATTGCTTATCTCTGCTTACCCTAGGCAGAAAATGCTAATCTTTGAACTCCATCAAGGCATTGACCTAATAAACACCTACACCAAGTTTGAACATTCTAGCTCAATTAGAAGGAGAGTTATTGTGTTCAAAAATCTCGGCCAATCAAATTGCTTATCGCTCTGCTTACCCTGAGCATAAAATGCTCATTATCGAACTTAGTCAAGGTACTGATGTAATGAAACTATACACCAAGTTTCATCACCCTCACTTAATTAGAACTAAAGTTATCCTGTCCTAAAGCATCAACCAATCAAATTGCTTATCGCTGCTTGTAAACACTCAGCAGAAAATGCTCATCTTCGAACTCCATCAAGGCATTGACCTAATAAAAACCTACACCAAGTTTGAACATTCTAGCTCAATTAGAAAGAGAGTTATTGTGTCCCAATAAGTGTGACGGACGGACGGACAGACGGACAGGCGGATGAACCCATTTTAATAGTCCCCTGCTTTCTTCGAAAGGCAGGGAACAATTAGTACCAGTATATAGTTTGTACACAGGAATGTATCTTTAAATAGGCATAGGTACATGTACTATTGGATTGCTATGATAATATTAAACAAAGTCTTGGATACCGTAGGTCCAATTAAATGGCATGGGTGCTAAATATTTAAGAAAAGATTTTTATTGACTCATCTTAAACAGGTAAACAATATTCATAAAATTTAGGTTACCGGTACAATAATTTACATACCTGTAATTAATTAAGAAATAGATAGATATGGTATATCAAGGTTGTGGACCCTCTAGAGACCACAGTTTTTATCCAATTTGGATGAAACTTTAAATATATGTTTTTATCATTAAGATCTTGGTTCCTTTTGATAATTATTAACATTAGTGTTACTTTGCTCTTATTTTTTGAAAAAATTTTCACAAGTTGATTTCCTTTATTTTGTTAATGTAGAATGGTAACGAACTGCTCTTTTCATTTTCTTTGTTTTATTTGTTTCGTTTGAATTTGATTTATCTGTTTAGTTTTTGATTGTTTAATTTTTGTTAATGAAGTTGATTCTTTTAAACTTCGTTTTTATTTTTGAACTCTACTTGGTGTAGGTGTTCATCAGGTAATACCTCGACTGAGTTCAATATTGAGATTAGCCGGTTGATTTGTTGGATATAAACCTTTGAATAATAGCGCCTAACAGGCAGCTGTGTTTAATTATGTTCTCCTGATTTTGATTGTTTCTGTGTGTTTGAAGTATATGTTTGTGATATGCGCTTAGAAACACTTCACGTGTAATGAAGCGCTATATAAATCGAACAATAATAATAATAATAATAATATATTTCTAATGCTATATGTATGAACTAGTTCATAGGATTTGAAAGATCATTTTCATTGCTTAATCAAGATTCTTCACATGACACACTCTCCTTTAATAAGATGTCTGCTCTGAGTTGAATTGGAACACTACTGACACAGATACATAAGTAGGATGTTAGCTCGCTAACCTGGAGGTTCCCTTGTTCGATCCCGGTGTTGGCCGAGAAAGTTGATTAGGGTTTTTCGGCGGGGTTCCCCCTTGACAGTGGTGCAAGACTGAGAACTCACAACAGACACTGTATACTCGTCCGGATGGTACGCAAAAACTGAGATCCTGTGCACACATTGGTGTGCACTTAAAACAACCATTGCCATCAGCAGGCCTTAAAGTCCCTGTTTGAGCCAGATTTCTCTCAGAGCACATTGCATGGTGTATGCCTGTCTTCATTAGCCAAATCAATGCAGAAAAGCAGGACATTAAACCCTATTTCATTTTATTGGATTAAAAGAAATAGAGGTTGATCGTCCACACAATTCTAACCCATGCACTTAAGGACTATCATATAGTATATTTATATTTCAATAATTTGCTTGTGTGCAGGGGTCTGTAGAAGTGGGAGGAACCCAGAATGAGGTTTAGCAGGCAAGTCCATGACATATACAGATAGCAGGGCTGACAGGCCTGTAGCCTTGCCTAGAGGAACAAATCAGCTAAACACTGGGGGGAACTGCAAATTGAATACCAAGCTAATCTGTGACAATGTGACTGGATGATCTTTATTTGTGTCCTAGAATAAGATATTTTGTCTCATTAATATACCATGAACGCCATGAACACTTTGACGGAAAAATATGAATGTTGCAGCAACCTCTCAAGGGTTTTCAAAACATCATTATGTGTTATGTTTGTAAACGATTAATGAAATATAAACAAGTCATAACCATTAGAGCAAATGTCAGGAGCCAGACTAAAGTAAAGACCTTAAATTTCATTTAACAATAGTTTTAACTTTAGTTATGCCAAATAAAGCCACTAATTGAAAAATAAACCATCTCTTATCATTTAAGGTAGTTTATGGTCTCAATTGATATCTACATAGGAATTACCTGTGTTGGCGCCAGTGACAATAGCGGTTTTACCAGACAAATCAGCCTTACTTAAACATCTTCCAAAGTTCAAACGTACATAAATGATGGCAACAATAAATAATAACAGTGTCACTGTAAAACCGATACACCACAGTGTTACTGGATCCATCTATAAATAATTTAAAAAAAAACAAATATAAAAATCATGTCTAAGTACCAATTCTCGGTCAAAAACTAGTTATCAATAACAGACTAAAACTCATTTTGTGATACGACTTTGAATGTTTTTGTATATTGACTTTGTAAAAAAAATGTGCATGGCTTAAATGCCCTACCCTGAAAGTCAAGATCAAGAGTTTTAATATGATCGACCAGTCCATAGATTTACCCAAAACAACCCAAAAACCACTTTAATTACCCCCCATAAACGGTATGTTGCTTATGTTTTTTCTTTCTTTTTGTATATGATTATATTAATATTCCATAATTAGAGATTCAGACTAGCCACTCTCTTCCCATTGTCTTTAACATTCTGTTGATTTTAATCTTATAATCACAAAGAGCCCAATATAAAAATAATATGATAATGTGCGGTTGTTTCGGGTAAATCTATGGACCCCTCAATATTAATTCTTTTTCTTCTGCAAATTAAATTTTAAAACAATTTTTTAAATTATTATTATTTAGAAAAAAATTACGATATTATTATAATTATTTAGAAATGAGTACCGTACATAAAATAGTACGCAAGACGAACATTTAAAGGCACTAATTCTGCTAAAATCAGTTTGTGTTACAATATGTATGTCTGTCATCACACCTAACCAATCACAATGCACATACATGTACTTGGTAGGCTATGCTATTATTGAGGCGGTATATATTATATGTTGGAGTCACAAGTAGACCTATATGTAAACTGCTTGTGAACTTAAAGGTCAGTCATCTTCTATGTGTTAATGAATCCTGGCATCATGACATATGTAAAGTGATTATGAAACAAAAGTGAATGGCATGACTGTGACAGTAACCAATTTAAATTCACATTGCATTTTTGTATTTAAATAAGTCCTGACGACTGACGAGTCGTTAAGTTTCATCAATCCCACTCATATACTGATTTAATTTGAAATTGTGATTTTGATCAGAGACTCTGTGTTAACTTTGTCAAAAACAAACATAAACAAAACTAAAAACATTCCTGAAACATATAAAAACCCTCTAGTACCTTGTTGTTCAACCTGCCCAGGCAAAACTTTTTTTGTCTCCAAAAATTTAATAAATGGAGTTATCTCCCTTAACAAAAATTGTCCCATGCGATAATACCATTAACAATAATCGACTATAAATTATTGTAATAAGATTTGCGTACTTAGATAGGGGATTTTTGAAACACGCAGGTTCCACTTCTTCTGTCATCAATAACATTTTCTTTACCCGAACTGCAACTAACAATTTCAGGTGTTGTTCATTTTATTGTTGATGTTACAAGGGACCCCGATTGCATAGTTCGCCTATTTCCGGTTTACTTTGTTATCAGATGTGGAATTTCATATTGCAGTAATTTTATAAGGATACCAATCGGTTCCCCTTTATTTCAATAACGGAAGAATGGCGGATATGTTTAGTCTTACATGGAGATCAAGACCTTCTTCTGTTTAAAAAATGGGTAACTCCAGTTCGGGACATTCAGGCAGAGGTAAATTATTTGCCGTGTGGCGTAAACAATTTTCAATCAATCATCATTCTCATTCTCTCTCCCTATCTTGGAATGCGAACAATCAATACTGAAGTGTCCAATGTCATTTTAAGCTTACCATATATTCGATATTCAACTATCACCCTGTTATTGTTTATGTATATTGATAGACCTATATAAAAAGGACGATTTCAACATTACTTCAATTACTTGCTCCTGAATTTAGTCGGACTATATAATATAATATAGTTCAAGTTGTTCAGTAAATAATATACACTGTAAATCCAATATTGGGCAACATTCCTACGTACATGTATCGTACATGTATATATATGATCATGTAAATTACAATAGCATGTACCTACACTAGATCTATGCACATGTAATGAGAATTTTAAATCTTTATATCAAATTATTAGAAAAAGGTTTTAGAGCTATATTGTTCTCCCTCCATTTGAAATTATTGTTGGGAAATGGTCAATTATTAACTGTTAATCGATGACACAGTGTATCCGAATCGGCCGATAATTATAAGATAGCTAAGTTTGATAAGTTTTATAAAAAGCAAAAAATGATTTTATAAAAGTAAAATGAAGGTAAAATTTAACGCAACATATACATGTAGACTTCTTAATTAATTAGGCAGTATAAATGTTCATGAAAATTATGACTTATTTCTTTAAATCTGTACTAATTTGGGGTGCGGGTCAGTTCATCCCACAACCGTTTCACCTCAGGCTGTTTCATCCCAACCTATTTTTTTATCAGGCTGTTTCATCCCCCTTGTTATTATAATAGCAGTCAATTAACTGAGTTGTACTTATTGTTAAATAAACTGTTAAACACTTACTTATTGTTACATGTATATAAACAATAATGTATGGAATAAATAAGTTTTACTCTTAGACTTTTGTTGATTACCAATACCGATCACGACCAAGATTAGTTCACCGCTGTATATTCGTATTGTTTGTTAATTGGCGTTATGATTTTAGATTTTAGGTCAGTTCACCGATGTTTTTGTAGTAAAGTATATTCTTTGAATGGCATTTAGTAATTGGAACATAATCAAAAACACAATTTTATGGATAGTATATTCTGTCCAGTTTAAAGCTGACCATTCAATTTTGTTAATGAGTGTCCAGTTTACAAGTGTTTAATTTCTCAATCACCGTTAAAAATACACAACATGGCCAATTAATTAATGATGTATAATGATTAATTTTTGAACAGTGGTCAGGAAATTAAATACTTGTAAATTGGACACTCATTATCAAAATTAATTAGTCAGCTTTAAACTGGACACAAGTACAAATTAGATGATTTTTGATGATTTTAAACAATTTTTACGAATTTTTAAACAAAGATTTGATATTAAACGAATCGAAAGAAATTAGTGCTAAATACACAAGATTAAATGATATCTGGGTTACAGTGTAGAGATATCCAATCTACTAGAAAAATACTGGATTCCCTGAAAAACACTCATGGAGCGTATGTATACAGGACAAAAATGTAAGGGTGAACCTAATCGACAGCCTGACGATAAGGAATACCTGCACGTGTGATGTCGAAGGTTGCATGCGAAGATTGAGCGCTTGGTGCACATGTTGATAAACTTTATGAAGAGGTACAACACTTTCTAAGATAAAAATCACGGAAAAAGACGCGGGCAATGGATAATCCATGATTTTAATTTGGGATTCAATATTTGTAATAAATAGTCAGCGATTAAAGACAACATCGTCTTGTGTATACAATGAATTCTCCTTCGACTTCACAGCCGTTGCTATAGGTACCGAGAGAGGTAAGTCACGTGACACAAACACGACCTCTTTTGATCGATTTTTATAGCAGGGTATTCCTTGGCAATTACAATGTTTTGAGAAGGATATGAAGCAAAATTATGATAAATTAGTTAGTTTGAATATATTTTTAGTCCAAATATATCACCAAATCACCCAGTTTGTACGCGGAAATGTATCTTTAACATGAAACACATTGTTATTAAAAGACTCTACCAAACGATAAAACACTTAGTTGCACTTAGGCCTGCCTACATGTACCTTTCTTTGATAATCGTCGTTTCCAGTAAAGGTAATATATTTTTTAAAGAAAAGAATAATATCTTGATGAATTGATTTGAAAATGACCTTTAATACATGTATATATATTCAAACACAAAAGCAAATATTTACACGACATGCATGGTTTTTACAAGTCCTAGAAATTATTATAATCTGTAAGCTCCACTTTTCCAAATTTTCATCAGTCTTTTATTTATTCAGCGAGTCCTAAACCGAATCAGAAAAGTCGTCAAGTAAATCCAAACTGTCATCAAACTGAGTCTGAAACATCGTTTGTGCTGATTCCGAATGGTCAGAAATGTCATGCTATCACCCCTATTCCCAATCACAGATTTATAAACTGAAACGACCTTTTGGACTCTTGAAGTCTTTTCAGACTCGGATGAATAATGAAAAGACTGTTGAAAATTTGTGTGATATATTTGTAACAGTTGTTTTTGTTTTATGTGAGGCCGATAGTTGTCTTTTGTTTTATTTAATTGATCATTTGAGACCATTAATAAAAAATTAATGCTGCTTGTTCTATTTTGTTTTGTTTCAACAGCAGGTACATGTATTGGACTTGACAATAAAATATTGTTGAAAATTTGTGTATATATTTAGTAATACTTCGTTGTTCTTCCTTAAAAAAAAACAGTAAACCAGCTTGATTGACTGATCACTGCTAATGGTTTTATAATTGTGAAATCCTACATGTCTTTTACGCGAGTCGGAATAATCGAATCAACACATGGCCGCCAGTATCGATGATTGAAAACACGTTTTTCCTCATCCACTAAAGAAACGTAAAGTTCCTTTGCACATACTACAATAACACCAGGATTATATGATAATCAGCTTTAATCATCCAACTTTGATCATTGCCATTTCTAATATTTTCGTAAAAGAGCTTTCTTTGTACGCACTAATTTATCGATTAGTACCGCTATCTATGGCAAGCTTGTCAAGGAATGCATGTCAACGTGTAGCTTACCAATTGTTAAAAAAATTTTGGGGTTTGTAAAAACAGAGCATGTCGAGTAAATATTTACTTTAGTTTATGTGTAGGTCATTTTGAAATAAATTCAACAGCATATTCTTTTTTAAAAATATATATTTCTTTTACTGGAAATTATGATAAAGAGCCGTAAATGCATCTTATATTTTATCATTTTCTGGAGCCTTTTAATAACCATGTGTTTCACGTTAATATTTTCTTTCATGTTTTGAATTGGCCTATTTCTAATAAATTCATCAGCTACTTTTTTTATACATTCTTTTCATAAACATTCAACATTGGAAATTTTGCCGTTACTTAAGAGGTCTGTATGATGTTTGATCCACGATTCCACGTGCTGTACTTGATTGCGAACGGTAAATTTTACCTGCTCTTGGCTTATTATAAATTCATTTGACAGTTGTGTTCAAACTTTCCTTTCAACTTATTCCCGAGTCCGAAATGTCACCTACCCGAGTCCGAAATGTCACCAGCCCGAGTCCGTAACGTCACCAGCCCGAGTCCGTAACGTCGAGGCCATATTTTTTAGAGTCCGAAATGTCGTTAGTCCGAAATGACGCGGGACCAACATGACATGTAATCACTATTACTATTTGTGATTCAGTGCTTCAAACAGAATGGTGGGATTTATATGATTTAAAGTAAATGAACTCTGTGTCTAATTCAATAATAATTACAGTTTCCTATGTCACACCCAATAACATTCCCTATTTGAGTAAATTCTACTATGAACGCATGGTAAGATATCAAAGTGTCAACCAGGGTTCGATCCTGATGTTTAAAGTAAATTTTTGGTACTTGTATTGCTCACCTTGTGTCAATCAGTATGTTTTCATAGATTGTCAATGCCTGTGCAAGTATGAAAGTTTAGTAATAAAGGGTAGACCTTCTGGTACATACATGTATATAAAGTCTGGCTAATACATGCAGCTATGTCATATTGCTCACCTTAGTATCTGGACCAAGATTAGATAATGATTTAATCATAAGTCCACTGAGTGTGTAAGATTACAGTGATAACAAATATTAGCTTATTGATAATATGAATATTTCTAGAGTTGACCCTTCTCACAAAAGATTTTGATTAAATTTGAAGTGAGGATTTAGCTTCATATAAAAAAACTCAGGAACCAGTCACCAAATTTTTATTTTTGAACATGTGGGTCAACAAATTTTATTGGCATGATATACTGGTAATGTCCAACTTGTGTTCTATGGAATAATGTTGCTATTAATATTATTTCAATGTTCACAGTCCAAAATGCATATGTCAGCAGTTCAAAATACTTATTTTAGGTTTTACAATTTTCATTGCTCTGCAATACCAACATGTCACAGTGTTAAAATACAGTATATACACTTTTCAATAATACGAAATACAGTATATTATTAGAGAGTCATGTATTAGTTATTTTAAAACTAAAATAAGTATTTTGAACTGTTGACATTTGCATTTTGGACGGTGAACATTGAAATAAGATCATACCTGTAGATAT